GAATACAAAAATATTTCCTGCAGACTGCGGTAATAAATTAAGCTTATTATTATAATCTGTTTGATAGATTACAAGTAATTTTTTTAAATAATCATGCAAACAGAATAATTGTCCAGATTAATTAAATCATTTTACGAATAATCACCAGGCTGAATTTTCTAGACAATTATATAAAAGTATGATATTCACACGATGGAAAATTTGTGAGAATTTAAATAACAATCAACTTGAACGTACCTACTATATTTGTTTATCAGTGGTCTTTCAATATGTAATCAGGTGTTCAATGTCGGCCCAAGCGAGAATAATGTCAAAACAAGAGAACAGTTTTACTTCAAAGTGAGAATTTTCACTATAGGGATCAAGGTTTTAAATAGATCAGTCAGTAGCAAATGCATGCACGTTAGAGGTACATGAATATGCATAAGTTAAATTATAACAGTTATATGAGTAAAATTACCTATTAAGAACTTTGTTACCAAGTTTTTCTCACTACCAGGGAACATTATTCGATGTCTATAATTTCTTCATGGGACTTGCATTTATGATTGAACTCTTCAAAGTTTCCATATCGACATTCTGTTGCAACCTGCAATTTATAGTTGCTGTTATGCTATTACCAGTTTGATGCGTCTCGACGGGAAACTTGAGATGTCAGAAATGTTTAGAAGTCGTTAAAAAGACGGTAAATTTGTTTTAGCATCGGTCGAACATTAGTTTATATTTTCACCTATCCTTTGATGTGGATGTACGATGTAAACGAAGATGTTGCAATCGTCTTTGCAAGAAAATTCTTGTGATCACGTTTAGTCTTCTAAAGTCTCTAAAAATTTCTAAAATATATTTAGTATATATATATAGTCTTCTATAGTAGTAGTACTTCTATAGTATTCTATATTTAGTATATATATATAGTCTTCTATAGTAGTAGTATTTCTATATATAGTCTTTAGTATATATATAGTCTTCTAAAGTCTTCTAAAGTCTCTAAAAATTTCTAAAATATATTTAAGAAAAGTAAACTTAAACTAATTATATTTACATACAATTAATTATATTAATATAATAAGTAAGTAAGTACTATATAACTTTAAAGCTTTAAAATTTATCTCATTTCGAAAAAACTTGACTTGCTACTTACTTATGACAACTCAGTCCAGGATTAATCCAGGATTAATACCCTTTTTAAAATCGTAGTAAATTATTGAGTAATCTGACAGATAGATTGCAATTTATAAATAGATATTAAAAAATGTTTATAATATTAATTTTAATTAAATTAGATATTAATATTAATATTTAAACAAATATAATCTAGAAACATTTGCAAAACATTTGTTATTGTTTGCGAGACACTCACTGAAACAGTAAGAAGTTATTTTGTTATTTACATAATTCAATTTTAAGTTTATTCGCGCGGTTAATCTGTCTTACCCACAGATGACCGAAAATGTTCGATGATCGTCGGCTCACTTCGTCGTTTCTCGTTAATGTTCGTCGGTGTCGTATCGCGGCGTTCTTATTCAGTATACTGGTGTCTTTCGCCGCTGTCATTTAACGTAATTTAGTTAGTCTCAAATATTTCGTTATTCATCTTTCCCACTATCGTAATGTTGGATTGAATATTCGTCTTCTCGACAAGAAGTTTTTTTTTTTTACCGTTGATTTCTTTTGTTTGCTTCTTTTTAACTTGTGAAAAGTGTAGAACGTTTATCTCTATTATGAGTTCGCGCGTTGATCCGTTCACTATTCCAAGCTCTTCCAAAATGGTAAATAGTTGCACATTTATAATTATTCATCATCTCTCCTTGAGAGTATATCTCTCCTTTGTGCATACATGAATATAAATCAGATTGCTTTAATTTCACCTGATCATTCACATTCGTATGCTCTTCTTTTTCTTGTTCTTCAAGTTCAGCTCGTAACTTGAACTACGTAGAAAAATTAATTTAAATTTCTTCTGTTTTTATTATTATATGTCATATACTACCATGCTAAATTTTTAATAATAACGAAAATAAAAACATATATCTTAAAAAATAAAGATATTAGCTTGACCTAAGAATCAGATCTTATATAGATGGAATCTAGATATATATTTAGGTACATATCTAGAAAAATAATACAATTCATTGCAGAAAAGAAATTAAAAAATACTTGTTATACTTACACGAAGAAGATAGGCTTGATATTAATAGATCTGGTAGATATTCTTTGGTATAACTATTGTTCTAAAACTTTCATAAATTACGTTTTCTTATTTTTTTAATTTTTTTAGGAAATACATACAACAAAAAAGTTACTTTATATTACAGGTGACCAATTTCAGTTTCTTCTAAAATGAAATACAAAATGTATTTTTAGTATATATGGACTTTTATAATTAACTGTATATATGTGTGTCCTTTATCTCTTGCAGGTATTCATACCTGACACGAATGCGCTGGCGCAAATTTCCCGGCAATTTGTCAACCTCGTGTATAATAACATGATATAAGTATCCATCGGGCATATCAGATTAAATTAATCATTTTTCACAAGCAACGAGTACAGTATCACTCTTATTTAGCCGGATTAATATTTAATTTTGTACGTGAGCCGTAACAGCAACCTCTCTACGCATTCTACAGTCTCTGTATTTTTAGTGATACTGGCACGTACCTCTGAACTATATTAGCTGCAACATGACCAATAGCAATGTAGGTAATTCATTATGGTCATTTTGTGAAAAATTCCAACGCAAGCATTTTGATTTAACTAATAATAAAATAGTCGACTCAGAAACTGACTGAAAAACTTTTCTTTTTATTTTCTATATCTACCAAGATATTTATATCTGCAGCAATCCACGAATTAATTCCAAGTGTAGTTAGAGTTCAGTTGATTCTTCCATTATTCTTGAAACAGACAATTAAAGTAGAATTAAAACAAATATACATGTACAATTAAAATAGTATATTTTATATTATAATATTAATATATATAATATTATAATATTAATATATAACATTATAATATATTATAATATTTTATATTTTTATATTATATTTTTTATTATATTTGTATATGTGAAATCTATGATTTTTATCTAGTATTTCTTGAATATATTACATACATCATCTATCTTATATACTTCTTTGTAAGATGCAATTTACTCCTTCGTTAGAAAAGTCGTTTTTAATTGCTGCTTATCTTGTTCTTATATGTATTGATAAATTCCTAATGATGATTGATGTATCTACTATACTATATGATGTATACTATTTATGTATACCATTGATGTATACTATTTATAACTCGAATGTGAAATATACAGTATTGTATGCCTTTCGACATTCATGAACTGGAACATTGGTCGGATCTGTTTAAACATGTTTATGATTCGAAAAAGAAATGAGTGTGTTTGAAGAAGAAGCTCTTTTCCTCTTGTTGCTTATCTTTGGACCAATCTCCAATTTTTTTTTTTTTTTTTTTTTTGTTCGACAATCAAGGTCAAATTGGCGAGAATAGTTACGTGAAAAAAAAAAATTGGTTTCAAATGCAAGTAACTGGTCTCTAAAATTCATTAAAATAAATCATCTCTTTCCTTTAAAGTAAAATTATTTCTGGTATATAAAAAGATACGCATAAAAATGCAATTTAAAAAATAAAAATTACCTTGAAATTTTTGAAAAACATCTTCATTTCATGTGCACAGTCACACTGTTCTGGGTTCTATTCGTAACAGATTTAATTTTGAAAGAAAAGAATTTTTTTTATCTATTACTTATCACATGTATTACATGAACAATTCTATAATATAATAAGTGACTATTTCGTTATTTCTTATTTTTGCCAAATAATTTTAGTCTCAACTTCTATTTCCATTCGGAGTGCTATTTATCTTTTTAAGTACCAACGTATTTTTAGCTCTCATGTATTTGTGACGATCTCATCTGGTACAATGACCTATCGAGACAAAAATATACCAATTAGTGAATCAGTTTGACTAATAAAATTGAAGAGAATTGAAGAAATATTATTTTTATGTGCGTTCGTTTACCTCAGTACTTGGACCCTTATGTGGCGTTTGATACAAAAAGATTGCGGGAAATGTATCGTTTGCGTAATAGCGAATAAATGAAAGAGAACGTTATGCGTGCAGCGTCCCCATTATTCGATATATCGCCGTTAACAACCCGTTGAAAACGATACATTGGATGGAATTCAAAATCCACATTTTCTGTGTAAACGTAAAACTAACTAAACGAGTAGTTTATTTCTCAAAAGCGTTAATTGTTCGACTCTGCATACTATCATACAATGATTCACGAAATTCAATATATATCATAAAAAACTTCTATGAACATATTGTATATGTCAGATAAAACAATTTGCTTAACAATATTGTTAACATGATTTCGGCTTAATGTAATGGATAAATTCACTGTTTAAATACTTTTGTGATTCCTGTACTAAACATCTAGAAGCGTATATGGTAGAGAATTCGCTGCAAAATATTTTATATATGTGTACGTGTAATATATTGAAGTATGAACAGAACGAAAGAAACAAGTATAGTAATGAAATGTAACAGGATGAAAGAAATGCAAGAAATTAAAACGATCAAGTTATCACAGAAATAGTCATATCTAGTCAAGACCGGTTTCTGCATTCACTTTCTCCCTCTAAAAACATGTCATTGACCGCATTAAGGTTGTTCTCACATACATAATGCTATACAAAAAATATATGTATGTACATGTTACAAAAGGATGATTCTTAGTTGACACAATTTCTCAGTAAATGTACTTATGCTATGCATTCTGTTCATGTTGAGACATCTTGCAGTCCTTCCAAAGTCTATGAAACGTATTTGAAATGTGTAATTCATTACCGAAAAAGAAGATGAAGAATATCTGAAGAGACAATTTTCATGAAATTATAAATGGCAAGAAATCTAATTCTATCTTCTCGTGTACGTTCTCTTCTTGTGTACGTTCCAACTCCATTTGTAGGAAATTTAAGCAAAACCACAATATGTAAAATGTATAAAATAGAGTGCCTCGTTATGTTATTTAATAGATGGAACAAACTCAGGTTTTCATATTCTTTGGCGAATAACCGTAGTCATTATCGTTGCAAAATCTAATGTAACGCTTCTTTTCTGTTTTAGCATTTGTCAGAGCTACGCAAGAATCGAGCCTGATGTCCATATGGTCGACAAGCACTGGACGCAATTCAGTGTTTGGCGCGGAGGACGGAACGGTACTCCCCTCCTCGCATTTGCCGATCCACGTACACGTGGCGCGTACACATCTGCGCAACGCTGACGGCCACTGTTTCCATAAGCGGTTTCACGACTGTCAGGTCGGTAGTTCTCCCCTTGTCTCTTTGATCTCGCAGTTCGTTTCCTTTTTATCTCTCTCTCCGGGTGTCACGCTAGATATTATGCTCGTCGTTTCTCATTGCACATCATGTATGCGACTTTACATACACGATTTTCGCCATTTTTTTCATTTAATTTTCTCGTCTGTTACAATGATACTCTCTCGTTCACCCGCATGTGCACGGATGGCTTGGTCTTTCTGAACCGGCTCTAATACTGCAACCAACCCTGTTGAATATTATCTTCCAAATGATATTGTGAAAATGATTGCTCACCATCCTGGAAATTGTAGATATTAGGAATGTTTGTGTTTGCAAATAACTATATAAAAGAAGGAATAAAATACAAGAAGAAGAAATCATAGATCTTTTGTGTATAGAACCTTATAAGTTATAATTACCAAATATCTTTCTAAAGTCTTTCTAAATCCGATACTTAGTATAAAATTCTTTATGATTGCAAACGAGAGTATGTGCGTATTGTATAGCCTTTACCATTCAATTGAACTCCAACGACAGGGATCAATTTGTTTGTTGTTCACTTTTATTCAATAAATCATACTCCCTTCATATCAAGTTGTATCAAGGCTCAATTCCATTGACGATTTATGGTCGGAAGACCGTAAAACAAAGCAAATCGTCAATACTTGTTTTACCTAGAAGATACTGATAATGAAAAACAGGAAATTAAATATTACATCAACACTCGAGAAATAGTTAGATGATAATAACAATAATAATACCGATAATATCAATCGGAACTGTTTAAAGTTACCAGTTGCTTCTATGTTATTGCGAAGGAACATAATTATTGTCCAACATTCATTTCAGCCAGATAACTATTCTCGCGTTAATCATTCTCCCAGTCGTGAATTCGACTTACATAAAACACAAGGCATACACGAAATATGTATGTATATAAACAGCTCCGCGTTCGCTTAGCATACAAAGTATCATGTGTATACTAACTATGTGCGAATCGATGATTTATCACATATCCTATGCACAAGGCTGGCTCATTTCATATTTTTATTCTGCTGATTTCAATATAATAAGATATTACACATAGATAGAGATATTAATTAATGATTTGTAAAAAAAATCTTTTTGTAGACTTATTTTAGGTAAATTATAAAAGAAGATTTAATTTTATAGAAATTTACTAACTTTTATGTAATTAGAAAAATTAACCATTTGTATAATATATAAAAATTCATGGTCTTCTGTTCGTCAAACTAATTTTGTGTAAATAAAAAGCTTGTTGCCAATTACCAATAAAAGTTGAAAACTTGTATTATTACTGTTATTATTTTTTCGTTCTTAATTGATGCATTTTATTCGTTTCTGCATCGTACTGCCGCTTGCAACAAATTTCCCGCATCAATCTATCAGTACTTGAATCTTCTCTCTCTTGCATTGTACCTAGTGGCTTTCCATTAATTTTCCTTCTTATTTGTTTGGTTCAGCACCCGTTGGTTTTTTTGTCCTACACAGGACTTTTGGCAAGTTCTACCATTGGCACCGACGTTGCCATCTACTTTCGGTACGTGTCTTTCTTTCTTACGTGCTTGTACAGTTGAGCGCCAATTATCCGAACGCTGATTACCTCTAGATGTGCAATTATCGTAGATGTATTTTTAACAATGATTTTGCTATATGGATAGTATTACGATCCTGAAATGCCGAATGGATACGACCATTGCTGATCTCTCGCTATTTCAACACAGTTCAACACTATTTCAACACAGTTTCAAGTTAAGATACTTACATATATAAGTTTCATGATCGTGATTCAAATTTAAAAATAATTTATTCATATACACGAGCTTTTCAATGAATCAACTTTTATATTTGCAACTTTCTAAACATTTCTCATACGATCATTTATTTCTGATTTTCCTGAAAGATATGAAGAGGGAAAGAATTTACCGAAACAGAAATAAACGGATTGGCAATGTTAATATATTTGCCAATAATCATACAAGTCATATTATTTTTCTCGTGTTATTTAGTGAAATTTATAAATATGTTGAAATATTATCTTTTGTTGATTAATGCGGCGGCGTTGCATTGTTGATAATGTAAATCAGTGAATCGTTTCAATTGAATCGCATAATTGGTCACTGTGCTCGCGCGATACCCGAGTTAGCGTATCGTTTTCGATTAAGCACATTATGCAACCAATCGCTTCCATTCAATTCTTTCACAAAACGTTGTATCAATGATCTCTCTCTCTCTCTCTCTCTATACTCTGTGTTTCTTTTCTGTTAACCAGTCGAAGATGTCGCAGTCGGGAGATGGCCTTCACACTCCGGGTTATCTCTCTTGGAGAAAACTGCAACTCAGCCGAGCGAAACTTAAAGCATCGAGTAAAACGTCCGCTCTACTTTCCGGTTTTGCCATGGTACACGATTAAACATTTTGATAAATGTCTCTTCTCGCAAAGATTTAAAAGATTCTCGAGTCGATTCTCCATATAAAAATATTATAAAATTATTATTTAAAAAATGACGATTGTACGTAACAGTGGATTATAACAATTTAATTTAATTATTTAAACTATAAATTCATTTATCAAATACCTTATGTTAGTGTGTATTAATAAATAAATTTTTTTTTTTTGCAGGTAGCTATGGTAGAAGTACAGTTGAACTCTGATACAAAAGTACCTTCAGAAATGCTAATCGCCTTCGCCATATGTACTACATTGCTGGTTGCTGTTCACATGCTAGCCTTAATGATATCGACATGTATTTTGCCGAACATTGAAGCTGTGTGCAATCTGCATAGTATAAGCTTAGTACACGAATCTCCACACGAGCGTCTACACTGGTACATCGAAGTGGCATGGGCATTTTCCACTCTGCTAGGACTTTTATTATTTTTATTGGAAATCGCAATACTTTGTTGGGTGAAGTTCTATGACTTTTCGAAAGTGGCTGCTTGGTCCGCCTGTATCGTCTTGATACCGGTACTAATAATCTTTCTCGCATTTGCGATACATTTCTATTGGAGTTTGGTGGCCCACAAATACGAAATCACAGTGTCCGGTATAAGAGAACTAGAGTTACTTAAGGAACAAATAGAGTCCACCGATGTTGAAGGTAGAAATGGTGTGAATTTACTACACATTTCTGATGTGACGCACGTGGTCTGAATAAATCATAATCCATGATTTGTGTTACTTTTAAAATGTGATAACTTCCTCAGTGAAGGACAGTGAATCTCTGATTGTCTGTTCAGGCTGTAATTGTACATATTAAAACAATTCAAAGGAGAAATCAAAACGACTTAATTAAAAATTTAAAAAAAAACTAATTTAAAAAACTGTATCGAAAATACCAAAAAAAGTAACTGTCCTGTATGTAAAATTTCTCAAAATTGATTCGCCTATAAGATCTTTCAATAGGCAAAGTGATACATGATATCGATTCACATATTTATCCATATCGCAATGAATTTATAACGTTGATGAAAAATAGTCTGTATGTATGAACGTGAAACATTCCTTTTCCATGTAGCGACTTAACTTATAAAAAGCAATGTGGTAAGCGGTAATATTTATTGTGTAATATATGCTTAGTTGTAACTTAAAAAAGCAACAGTCAGAAATGAAGGTTTATATTTTCCTTTGACAATGCGTGACTAGCTTCCATTGAATGTACTTATTATCATGTTTAAAAACATGCCTGTCAAGCGGTATTATTCTTAGTTCTTTTTATTTCGTTCATTTGTTTCGTTCTCACGTAATATGTCCTATATTCAAGTTCTTCTACGCGGAGACAACATAATTTCCTGTCTCATTGTCTATGTCTATATTTACACTTGGTCACAGTTACTGCCGTCACTAAAAAAGTGGCAATTAAATTATTATATATAACTTTTATTGCGAACAAAATAGTTTATACGGGTATACATATGTTGATAGAAAGAGATATATCCAAAGTTGAAGTACTTTTGCTATAATAAATTATACAAACAACAGCGATTCATTCTGTATTACGTGTTATTCTGAAAAATAAGAATATATGTTTATAAAATAGAATTTAAACAAGAACAACACGTGTTTATGGACACGCATATATTCCCAATTATACGCTTTGGTGCTCTTTCACAAATAGCTTCAGTGAAAACGAATTCCGACTTTCGGTCATCCTCCATAATTTCGGAAGTGTTTTGAGAATCATTAATCCGCGTTATCACTTCCATCTATGGACCAAGTAAGAATTGTTACAAGCTGAATAAAAATTTTTCGATGATTTGCTCATAATTGTTATGTACTTCCGGAATAGGATATAACGTTGGATGAGTTGCACGTTGTCGAAAATCTGCATCCGATATAGTTCCATTTATAAACCAATCGTTTGTCCAGAAACCACGCTGCTCTTGACCCGTAACTATGTGATAATATGTGCCGTAACCTTCTTTCTTGCCCTTGACGAACTGACCCTCGTATTTGTTGCCATTATCTGTAAAAGTTACATTAAATATTCCATTCACTTTTAATTGCATTGATAAATAACAATAAATTACTTCTTATTTGTTAATAAGAGATATTAATAAGGCCACCCATAAAGGTAAAAGAAAAAGAGATGATGGTAAATACAAAAACCTTTGACGAATAATCCCGTGCCATGGTAAAGATCGTCCTTCCAAGCGCCTTCGTAATAATCTCCATTACAATGCCACATACGACCATAACCATGCCGTTTATTTCGACAAAAATCGCCTTCATAATAAGAACCATCTTTGAACCAGTTATGTCCGAATCCCTGTTTTTTCCCAGCCACCCATTGCCCAATATAATATCGACGAATAGTATGGTCTTCTTTTGAAATTTTGCTCAAAATACCGCAACCGTGTTTTTTACCATTCAACCAGCTACCATCGTACATCCAGCCATTTCTGCAAAATTGCAACCATGTTAAAAATATCAAAAGAAAATTATATCTCAAATAAGACATGCCTTTACTCGAAGATACTTGCGGTAGTTACTTTAATATAGTAATTTAAAAAAAGTACCTGTCCACTTCTTTACCTCTGCCTTTTTTCACATCGTTCTCCCATTCACCAATGTAATAACTTTTGAAAAGTTCTTTGGTTTGAGGGCTGAAAATAGCGTGACGCAAGCCGTTTCTCTTCGAATTTTCTATTTTCTGTTCGCTGTACGAAGCTTTAATGCATTTCAAGGAAGGCATCGCGACAGTTGTCACAAATTTCATTTGAATTTGAGAAACGTAATGTATCAATGTAATTTGACATGATATTGCATTTTAGGAAATATCTCCTAGATGATAGTATTTTATAATCAAACAAATGAATACGAATGTAATTGAAATATAAAGCAAAATAGATTAATACTAATTCAATTCATTAATACTAAGTGTAAGAATAATATATTAATATTATATTTTACAATGAATGCATCATTGTATAATTGAAGCGAACGAGCAAAAATATTCATATAAATATTATCACAGATAGAATACAGATCTATATATATATATATATATATATATATATATA